CTTTCTCTCCCTCTCCCTCCCTCCCTCCCTCTTTCTTTCTTTCTTTCTTTCTTTCTTTCTTTCTTTCTTTCTTTCTTTCTTTCTTTCTTTCTTTCTTTCTTTCTTTCTTTCTTTCTTTCTTTCTTTCTTTCTTTCTTTCTTTCTTTCTTTCTTTCTTTCTTTCTTTCTTTCTTTCTTTCTTTCTTTCTTTCTTTCTAGCATGTTTTACTTAGCCATTAAAAAAAAAGTTTTAAAAGAACCACCAAAAATTTCAATTGATTTTTTAGATTTATCCCTTTCAACCAGTAATAATATTTTAGAGATGACCTCATTGCACTCACATGGTTAGACGCAGTGAAATTAATGCTTTATTTAAATATAAATAACATTTTGGTAAGAAGCCATTGCATGCATTCACGCGACTTGGAGATTTAATATTTTCAGTTCTGGACAAAGAAAAGGGATGTGTAGACAATGTTAATGTTCAGCATCAGAAATATAAAAATAAGGTTCCAGCTATTTGGTGGTTTGTAGAATTGATTAATTGATTAATTGAATTGATTTGCAGATCAGTTAGGGACGACTTAACGTATGGATGTCTGTAAATATGCACCTTATAAGCTTTTACATCTTTTCAGCATTTTTTCCTTCTTTTATAACTTGCTGTTTTTTTCCCCTTCTTTTATAACTTTGTGGGGGTTTTTTCAATTGCAAGTCTATTTTCCCCACCATCCAATAGAGGGGTCAGCCTGGGTCGCGGGGGTCAGCCGGTAGCCACTAGCCATCAATGATAGAAAGCACATCCTGGCACACTGGGAAAATATCTTTGGCTATTATAATAAGAAGGAAGGGAAAAAATATCAGTGGGTCTATACTGGCTTTTGGAGGAGAAATCCTCAGCAATTTACAGCCGGAATTGGTTGGTGGGGTAGATTATCCTGGAAAAACAAAGCCTTGTTTTTGGCTCCCTTCAGCTCTGCAAATGGCAGTCGCTTTGCAGCTGGTGAGTTTCTCTGTCGCTCTGCTTTCCACCGTGTTTCTGGGGGCAGCTACCTGGTCAGACTGCTGGATAGTGAATGCTGATGATAGTTTAGAGGTAAGTGCACTGGAAATGCCAGTGAGTAGGACGCTGCAATCTCTCTCCCTTAGTTGTTGCATTTTTTGCTTCCACGGCATCCCTCTCCAGCCTCCTTGGCTGCCCTTCCCTCCTGGAAAAGTGCCATAGAAGACATTCCTTTGTGATTGAGTAAAAGGGGGGAAAGCCAGGGAGGCTGGAGAGGGCTGGAGAGAAGATGGTTGTTGTGTGTTTCTGTCCCACGTCTTCCCATCCCTCTCCAGCCTCCCTGGCTGCCCTCCCTTCCTTTCTGAAAAGGTTCCATAGACAAAATTCCCATGGGTTGACTGGAAGGGAGAGAAGCCAGGGAGGCTGCAGAAGGCTGGAGAGAAGATGCTTCTTGTGTGTTTCTCTCCCACATCTTCCCATCCCTCTCCAGCCTCCCTGGCTGCCCTTCTTTCCAATCTGAAAAATCCTGTAGAAGAAACTCTCTTGAGATTGAATGAATGGGTAGGAAGCCAGGGAGGGTGGAGAGGGTTGGAGAAAGGATGTTCACTGTGTCTTTCTACTCCTCATCTGCCCATTCCTCCCTAGCCTCCCTGGCTGCCCTCCCTTCCTTTCTGAAAAAGTTCCATAGACAAAATTCCCATGGACTGAGTGGAAGAGAGAGAAGCCAGGGAGGCTGCAGAGGGCCAGAGAGAAGATGGTGCAATTAAAGACAGAACGCCTATGCGTGCATTTTGGTCACTTCATCCCTTAATCGGTGCGCACTCCATCCATCGGATTGCACCTCTTTCCCTTTTCCTTGGAATTTCAGAAGCCGTACCTTTTCCAGCATAAGGCCAAACGATTTCACACATGCTGAACTAGCATCTAGCAAAGTTGATTGATAGTTGGTTGTCAGTACAGCCTGCTTTCTTCTGTTTTGGTTTCATTTTCTCTTTGTCTGCCGTGAGCTGCCTGGGAATATGATACAGCACTGAGAAGCAGAATCATCACCATCGTCACCTTTCACCCTTAGGTCAGCCACAAATGCCAAGGGCTTTGGAGAAAGTGTGTCACTAACGTGCAAGATGGCATTAAGACCTGTGACCAGTACGATTCCATTTTAGCAGAACATCCCAGTAAGTGGTTTAATTTGACAAAAGACCCTTGGTCCATTCGGAGCAATGTTGTCAACACAGGCTGGCAGCAACTCTTCGGGGATTCAGCGAAATGTCTTTCTTGGTGCAACCTAGAGGTGCTGGGAATTAAACCTTAAACCATTAGTGCACCCCCAAGCTGCTCCTAATAGATTCAGAAAGCTGCTGCTTCATTTGGAAGCTCTCTGGTTTACTTTAGGATTGCCAACACGGACTGGCAGCAGTTGTCCAGGATTTTAGGCAGGAGTCTTCCCTACCTGGAGGATCAGGACTTGAACTGGGGAAGTGTGAGAAGCCAGGGAGGCTGCAGACCATTGGAATGTGCTGACACAGGCTGGCAGCAGCACTTCAGGGTTTCAGAAGAGTCTATCTTAGTGTTAACCTGGAGATGCTGGAGGATCAAACAGGAACTCTGCACACCAGGTAGAGGGTCTACCTCTGAACTACAGCATTTATGTTAAGACACATGAATTTCCTAATAGTGCATTACTCCTTGCTCCATCTAGCCCAATATTCCCAACACTGACTGGCAGCCGCTTCTCAAGATTTTAGGCAGGAATTTTTCCAGTCTCCTCCCGCAGATGGAGATTTCTAGGAGGAAAATCAGGAGATCCACTTGCAGAAACTATCAGCTCGGCAGCTGTCCTGTCTTGTGATCTCACCAACCTGGACACCCCTGATTTGCAGTTAACCCTGGCTTGGAATCGGTGGGTTGGTCACGCCAGAGGATGACCAGATGAGAGAAACGAACTGGCCAGCAAAGGAAGGGAGATAGGTTGGGTGAACTAACGTCCCTCTGTCTATATTAACTTCACCGTTTGCTCTTCTGCAGTGAAAATTGTGGTGACCAGAGCTTTGCTGATCACGGCTGACATGCTTTCGGGAAGCGCTCTGGTTCTCCTGGTGGCAGGATTTGACTGCATCAAGTTCTTCCAGGATGAGCCACAAATTAAGCAGAAGATGCATTATGCGTCCGGATTGGCACTTGGCATTGGAAGTAAGCAATTCCCATGGCTTTGCGTGCATAATGCTTGTTAATAGAACTGGGTTGCTGCTGAGGCAACGCGACTGTGACGATGTTGTGTCTCACGATGAGACCAACTTTAGGCATTATTTCTGAACAACGCCTGGCAGAAAAAAATCTACTTGTTGGCCTGTTGATTCCTTTATTGTAAAGAAGAGATTTGCAGTGAATTTCAGGACAATTCTCCAGGGGGGAATGCAGAGGCCTGCACACATATAGGGATCAAAGTGTGTGTGGAAGAACATCTTCTATGCATTTTCTCTCCAGCCTCCCTGGCTTCAGTCAAACCCCAAGAGATGACATGAGGAAGGAATGTGACATTTCCAGATGTTGAGATTTGGGAGAGATTCATTCCTTCCCTTGATTTCTGGATGGCGTTTTGCCTGAAATATCTTTCTTGACCCCTTCCCCAGGTGTGCTTGGGTTGGTGGGCTCCCTCTGGTACGCCGTCAACGTCTATATGGAGAGAGCCGCCCTCGTGCCCCACAACATCTTCTTGGATGCCCACCAGGACTTTGGCTGGTCTTGCTGGCTAGGACTGATCGGCTCGGCGGGAAACTTTGCGGCGTGCATTATCCTCTCGTGCTGCCTTCATTGTTCCTCTTCAGGTCAGTGAAATGGGCACAAAGGCATTCTTCCTGCATTGATGGGTAGGGCTTTTCCCAAATCATCCCACGATTGCCCAAGACCAGTTTGGGACCTTTGATACCCACCCAGCTGCTGGCTCTCTGCAGCAGTGAAGCTTCAAAGCAGAGGACTGAGTTATTATTTATTTATTAATTCATTAATTCGTTCATTAAAAGACCGGCAGAACCGCTGAAATCTCACCTCTGTTAGGTGCTCAATAGGTACTCCAAGGCAAATGCATTGTTTTCACTTAGCCTCAGTCACTACCCACCGTGTCCATGAGCCTGGCCTACCTTACAAGGCTGTTGTCAGGTTTGCAAAGCAACACCTGAAACACACTTCACAGTCTCGATTCGCGCATCACCCTAAACCAGGGTGGGCAATGTTTAGCAGCTATGAGCCGTGGCGCTCCATTTCCTGACATTTTAATATTAGGTATGTTTTCCCCCTGGAGTATTATCAAAGGACGATGATGACGACGATGGTTGCAGGAAACTGCTGATAATATGGGAACAGCACTAGAAGGCGCATGGTTGAAGTTTTTTTGGAACTTTTGGGGGGGGTTAAGAGTGGGAAAACAGCTGTTGCTTCCACCTTTAGCACCCCATCTCTCCCAAAATGGCCTCAATTTGTCCCATTTTGGTAATCACTCTATTTAGTCTTTTCTCAAAGGGCTGGGGGATCCCCACCCCTTCCCTGAAAGCAATGTTTCTCAGCCTTGGCAACTTTAAGTTGTGTGGACTTCAACTCCCAGAATTCCCCCCCCCACCCCCCGCGGGCGGGGGATTTTTGGGGGTGTAGTACCGTGTGGCTCCGT